AATAATGAGTTCTAAAACTGAATAATTAATGGGTCTTTTATAGAGGCCTTTCTTCCGCTTTATTTTAGTCTAAGTGGTCATTAAGGTTTAATTACATATCAATTTTTATAATAACACATTTTAACAGCATTATACAATGTTTAAAAGTGCAGCTCATATTGCTTTAAACATTTAACTGCTGCAGCAGTTTTAATGTTATTGTTATTTCTCTTGCTGCTTTATACTTATAAAAACAATTCATTTTTGATATATGAAAGCCTTTTCTTTCGGAATCCAAAATGTTTTACCACTCCATGTACCTTAAAAATAGAAAGTAACCAAAACTTCAAGCCAAATGGGTGAGTAAAACTATTATGGATTATTTGAGAAGATATTGACACAGGTAATACATGTATATTGAAAAAAATTATGATGCATTTACTCACTTATGTTTAAATCAAAGATTAATATTTTGAAAAGTATGACAAACTTCAAATAATTTGTGATGAGGTTATACACTATCCAGAACAATTGTATTTTATAGATAAAGGAGTAAGAGTAATGTGTGAATGTTATCTATTCATACTGCGGTATATTGTTTGATTATCTTTTACTGACGAACGTTATCAGAACGGTCGATAAGGGCGTAAAAGCAAAAATTGTTTTGCAGTTATTATGTCAAATTTGAGCGGCGGACCTGACACAAATAATGTGTAAGTAATCTAAACATACTTACTTTGAAAGCATAATTTTAACAATATATCTTTAAAGATCGTATTCACAATTATATTTTGTCTGTGTAAGGCTTCCCCTGCTGACTAGTCCCGCCCACCGAGTGATCTTTGTTATGATCAAGAACGGGAAAATCTGTCGTCAATTCAATGTATAAAGAATGGAATAACAATTAGTATGAAAAGCGTCAGTCACATTTGATTCAACGAAAAATTGTATTTGCTGACAAGGTCATTGTATCCACCATGGTATTTACGAAATGATTACTTTAATTGAGGCTGCTGATATTCTTGTTTCATCAGTTTGTTTGTCAATGATTTACATTGTTTTAGAAATTGTTCATACGTAAAGCATGCTCTTGCTTATCAAATCAACTGAGATATAAAAACTTCGTATGCAAGTGTTGAAGGTACATGCATATTGCTGCATAAGAAAGGGAATTTGACGATAGAATAGGTAAAGTCATCACGTTTAGCATAGAGTTTGGTTGTAAGATGATCATTGATGTCTTTTAAAATTAAATTGCAGTGATTTCATTAAAATTCATGGGAATCAAAGTTTGTTGATTTAGTGAAAATCACAGTTTTGAGGAAACGTAAACTAGTGGATAATGGTCGTGATATCTGTTATCTTTTTATATTTTGTTTAGTCGTTTGGTTTATCAGGAAACATAATGTCATCAACAATAAAAAGAATATGTAGGTATTTTTAATAATAAAATGCAAATTCTTTTGATAAATTGGATGAATTTTGACTCCTTTGAACGGAGAGTATTTATTTTTTTTTAATTCAACAATAAGTTGTTGCTTTTATTGTACATATGATAATGGGGAATTGGCAAATATTGTTTGAGAAAACACATGTGCAGTATATTAAAAAATATATTTTAATCAATATGTCCAAATAATTATGTAAAAGAATTTCTTTATCTATATTTAATATTCTTATAATGAGAAAAAAAAAACGTATATAAAATCAATCTGTTGAGAAAAAGAGGTGGGTGGGTTAATTTGATATACATTAACGAATGTGTCGTCATAATAGGCTTTTTAAAAGTTATCATTAATTTAAATGGAGGCAACAGACTTTGATGGACATTTAATTTCGAAGATTAACTCAACAACGAAATCCCCGCAAATAATGATGAAGGAACAGTTTCGAAGTTTGAAACAGATTAATCAGACTCTATGGTATCTTTTATCTCAAGCTCACCAGGATAAATTATATCGTATCAACATAGGATTGTTAATTGACAGCACGTCATCGATAAATCTAAATGTCGAGTTGAAGGTCACAGCAAGCACCAAAAATCACACATATACTGTCAATCAGAAACTCAATAATTTTCTTGATGTCAACTTAAGACTCTGTGTGTAATCAGAATGTGCTTTAACAAAATAATTTGCAAATAACCAATGACAAGAGAAGTGAATTTACGACGTCCATTTTTTATTCATAAGGTAGTTGTCGATGCTATCAAGTGTTGGTGTATGGGGATTGAGATGGGAGAAGTTATTCAGTATTAAGGTTCATTGATACTCTGATAAGAGAGATAACTCTACAGATAAGAAAGATAACTTTCTGCAGACATTTTGTCATGAAATTCAATAATTTGTCATGCCAGAGTTTACAGATCTCTATCATAAGGACCATTTTATTGTTAACTCAAGCAAACCTAACCCATGGTTCAGAGGTTGATTTATAGTTCTATTGCTAGTATATTTATAAATTATTTTTAATAGTTTACCTAAAACCTTTATACTCAGTTCCTTTAAACGGTGTAAATTGATAAAAAAAATCTATCTCTAAACGTGTAAGTCTTTTAATTGTACAGAAATAACAGCTGCAGAATTGTTTATAAACATTTAATTCATATTTAATTTCATTAAAAAAGAATTTCAAGGGCGATAATGGAAAGATAACTCTTGTTTATGGATGCATTTCATTTTACATGCACAGAAAACAATTTGATATTCTGATTTAAAAAGCATCGCTCCAGTATGTTTTCTAAAGGGAATTAGATAGGTATGAGAGTAAATATTATTTTTATATATATATTTCTAATTTAATTGTGAGATTAAAAATAATTGATCTTTCTAATGACCATATCAAATTTTCTTCAAATCACGATTTGACTTATCATTCATTTCTGAAAAAGTAAGCAACGCTTCATACTCCAAACTATTTTTTATTTGAATTGAATGTTATAGTTGTTGCTGAAAATCAATGTTTGGAATTTAAAAAAAAAAAGTCGTGAAATGTGGAGCAGAGGAATATTGTCCCTTAAAATGTATCTAAACATAAAAAAATGTTAATCGGAATTTCTCTTTATAAATTACGAGATACACAAAATATTTACTTTCATTACAACAGGTCCCCTTTTTCAGAACATCGAATTGTACTTTTTGCAAAAAAAACCCCGTACTTTACACAGTTAATGCTATGAGTTTTTAAAATTTTCTCGATTATCGTCTCCATCATTTAGACGTATGCCTTTTACACACATATCGAAGCAGTTTGATGATCAAGACTCATTTCTATCGTGTATTTCCCGGGCGACAATTAATGGTTACATCAATTTTTTCTTGGGTGTAAAGTTAAAAAGTCGAAAGTTTTAAAGCTATTGATTTTGGTAAGATCTTACTTGTAATTTTAAATTGTCAAAAAGTTATTTGGAGTTTTTTCAGTATCCACATCCAATTCACACCACGTCTGGAATATATTGTTGCACGGTACTCTTAAAATTTCTCTATCACTACTTTTAATATCTCAATGAATGGTAAAGAAAGAGACTTTGTTGAACATTACTGGAATCTGCAATGTATCTTTGTTTGTGAGGATTCTTATTGATGGCCAATTCATTTTCAAAATGGCCCATCAAAAATGTTAGAAGTTGTGTCCTCTTTAGCCCCCTTGACCTTTCAAATCACGGCTTCTGGCTCCGTTTAACATTGTTGAATAATAATGAGTTGGTAGATTATTGGATGAGGTCTTATTGAATATTTTCTTTTCAAAAATAAAAAATCAAATAATTAAACATTTTTAAGTCGACTTCATTGTTTGCGTTCCTTCACTTTTATCTATAATTATCATAACAACAAATTTCCATTGTGTTTTTTTATGATTAAATCTAGTGTTCATAAAAACCATCAAAACGGACCATTTTTAAATATAAAGGGAATCTGTCTTCATCTCCTTTGCAGGTATTTTCCACTTTATAAGTTAAGGAGTACGGAAAGGGAAATAACAAAATAATCTTCTGTTTTAAGACATATGCCCAAAAGGTAGAAAAAAATGTCTGTTTCGCAGTTTACAGATGAAGAATTCAAAAGTAAAATGGTAAGGAAAAAAATAAATAACAAAATCCAATGTACATGCATGTAACATATGCATATTTTAATTTGCTGAATGCAAAAGTTTATGCATAATTTTTTTTTATATTCATATACAAGAGATTTAGGCATTGATATTACTCTTCAAACAATCAGTTCGTCTGAAGATTTGATCATTAAATTTAAATGGAAACACAGAATACTATGAGAATCTTTCTATAAATTATTTTTCACTTTCGTAAGTTGTTAAGTTTGTATATTCTTTGTAGTTAACAGAAAATTCAAGCAAGAGTGAATATCTGACAGAAGGTGAAACTAAACCAGACAGGTTGGCATATTTATAAATAGCAAGAGCTCGGAAGGTTTATATTGTCAGCAATAAATCTCAAATACTTTATGTCTTTGGCTTCATGTAAAGAGTGTTTTTTTAATAGTGTAAAGAGCAATCTTGTCTCATTTTATTTCAACATCTTATCACATTATCAATCTATTTGTTTACTTACTTAATAGCTTCTGTGCATTTATACCCTTTGACTTAGTTTATATATTTTAACATTTCATAAAACCAGCACATGAGGTACCAAGGAATACTGAAAATCAAATTAACAAGTAATTCTCTATTCCCTATGCACAAATGGTAGTAAATGAACTTCCTGGTTCACAAGACCAGTTTACAGATGAAGAGTTTAAAATCAAACAGGTATGGAAAAATTAGAATAAAAAAATCGATATATATACATGAGCGTAAAATATGCATTCCCTTTAAGTATAATGTATAATTTTGTCTATATATCTTTTTGAAACATATTTGCATGTAATTATTCTTATAATTCTTCCAATGTTCAGTTTAACACTTTAATCACTAAATCTTAAAGGAAAATACAGACTACTATAAGAAGCTTTTTTAATAATGAGTTATTTTTACTTCCACCCATACGTTTGTATTTTCCTAATAGTCAACAGAAGATTCAAGCAAGAGTGAATACCCTTCTGATAACAAAACTGAACCCAGCAGGTAAGCATATTCATTATTTCTAAGAGTTCGGATCGTTCATCTCGTAAACATTAAAAGAAAAAAACACTTGAGATATTTGCGCGACTTCATGTTAAGAGTTTCTTCTACTTTGCGTTAAAACTAATCTTGACTCCTTTTATTTGAATCTTTTACATGCATTGCAAAGTCAATTTGTCTGTTTTAATCACTTTATAGTTTCTGTCCATGAGATTTACATGTAAACTATATATTCTAAACATTTAATAAAATTGTTAACATTATTTTAATTATTTAATTAATAGATTAATTGCTGTTTTTACTTCCTTACTGATCGAGAAGATTTTCAGGAAGAAAGATTTACTAATCTATACATATGCCTTTTAACAAATTATGCATATTAAAGGTTCAACAACAACCCACAAAATGAAAATTTTTGAACTTATTTCATATAAAGGAAAGCAGGAGGTGTTGTAGTTTATTGTAATGCTCATTTTTTTTTTATTTTGTTAATTTAATTAATTACAGATGATACAAACAAAATTTTGTCAAAAATTTGAAAATAACAACTTGTGTCATTATAAAATGAATAAAATTAATAACTTTCGCCGCCTAGTTTTTATTTTTTTTTTCAAATTTCGACAAAGATGGAATTCACAGTAAAAAATATTTTGTTTAGATTAATAAGGATAGTTTCAATAGGGCAGAAGACCTTTGAACATCACAGAAGGTTTACAATTTCCTGACATTCTAGAAATTTATCATTTGCCTCATTTGCAATGCAATTAGGCCAAATAATACATACGAATCCAAGCATCTATTTAGACGTTGTATCATCTGTCCTTAAGTATAGATCGTGCAATGACTTTTTATTGTATATTTGAAATCGTCATAAAAATGATGCTGAAATGTTTTTGTTATAGATCAGTGGTATAATGATTCCTAAAGTCGAAATCTAGGTTGTATTATAGTTTTGTGGAAATAAAGCTGCCCAAATGAAACGTATTTTTTTTTTTACATTGAGTCATAAAAATTTGATATCTTCAAACGCACAGAATAAGTTAAAGAAATAATAGGCATTCAAAATTTGATTGAAAATTTGACCTTAATTACAGTTTCTTAGATGTTCCGTGGGCCGGTGAAATGTTGAATATTAACCCAAGTTAAAAATTGACCCAGGGTTTATTTGGCAAGGTTGAATATTGAACGTATGGGTTTTTTACATTGAAAATTGAGACCAAAAGTCGTTAAATTTATATCCTGGTTCATATTTCAAAAACGTGATAATTTTTTTCCGATGATCTCAGCAAGTTGAAAATTGACCTTGTTAAATATTGACCCCACCGCAGAGTTTGAACATTTTTTTAACTGTAAAGTTATTTTACGGAATAAAATAGTATCTCTATATTAAAATTTGGTTTCAATTTTTCCCTTTTCAAGAATAATAGAAATAAACCTATCAACCTTGTATATATGTACATTTTGATCAGTATACGGATTCAGTTATCTTCAAGCAGGACAACCTTATTTTTTGAAAATACAATCTAAACCCCATATCACCAATAAATAACTGCAAATCTATGATAGGACATAAAACAAAAATCCTGGAAATCTGGTGTCTAAAAAGTGAGCCTTATATATATTGATCAGGTGTGCAAACCATCTCATATAGTCAAATTCAGTATAAAAATCAACCAAATCCAAAGCCCTAAAATTTAGAATGAAACACACCAGCCAAATCGAATCCTATTATATGGTATATTTGTGAAACAAATCAATGTAGCAACCATGATATATAAGTAATGACTTATAACAAGATTATTGAAATCTCTGTAACAAACCTATCTGTCAATAGTATAGCCTGCTTGGCTTAAAAATTGATCGTTTTCGGAGCATAGTCTTGTGAATTAGATAATTCTTATTCTAAATGATGTCATTCTAATTCTATTTAATGTGATTTCTATTCGATTGGTAGTTATTCCTATTTGATAACTTGTAATTTGTATTTGATAAATTGCTATTACCATTTGGAAGAAATATGACAATATGATTCCTATGTCATAATATATCATTCCTTTTGAAAACATGCGTTTCCTTTTCGATGTCATTCATATTTAAAAACATGCAATTCCTATTAGCTAACTCTGTCCTTCCTATTTGATAATTTTATCATATGCAATAAAGTTGTTGGTCGAAAACGCCATTCGATTTTTATATGATAAGCTTCTTATTGTATTGCAAATTAAAATATTATCTCTCTTTTACGACGCTTTTCCGTTTCTTTTTCAATAATTACATTCTGGGAAATATGACAAAACTGGATCTGGTCGTAAATTCAATTAAAGGTGCATGGACACAGATTTGAAGCTAATATTTTCTTTATAATAGTACGACTAATATAGTTTAATAGCATTTCAAACAAAAATATATTAAAAATCTTACTACATCACAAAATTTTTATAACAAAGTTTTATAACAAATTTTTATAACAAATTTTTATAACAAAGTTATTAAAATTTCAATTTTTTATACGCGTTTGATTGACACTATTATAAAATTTAATTTTTTTCTGAATACTAAGAAAAGTGGCAATCTTGTTTATAAATGAAAAAATATGAAAACTATCATCCAGAAAATTCAGAGTAGAAATGTTTGAAAGCAAACCATACATACAGTATATTGTCAGTCGTGGTAAACAGACTTTAAAAACTGAAAGCTCCCAGTGAATCTTAAACATCAACAATAACAGAACTCGTGCCCAGTTTACAAAAACTGTATCTTTCGCAGGTGAGATCTATTTGTAAAACTCTGTACATAATACTTAGCACGGGATGACGATACTATTGAAGGGGTTGTGCGATCTAACACTTCTATTTTAAATATAATTATTTTTCTTGAACAAAGTTTATTAATGCATAATTATAACAAGATTGCTACCTTTCCTGAGAATTCAATATAAAAGTAAAATTTGTGAGAGTGCTAGGATGTGTCAGTCAAACCCATCTAAAAATTTTAATTTTCATTAACTTTAAGATGAAATACTTTTTTTTTAATTTTTGGTGTGGAATGCTTTTAAAATATCTACACTGTAAGTCGATAAGTCGTTATATCATACAGAAAATATTAATTTCAAATCTGTATCCATGCAACTTTGAATAAGAATTACATGTTTATCATGATTATCGAATACAAATCATTTTAGAAATGACAAAATGTCGTATAGGAATCGTATATTTTCGAATAAAATGACAAGTTATATGTAAAGGTGATGTATTCTCGAACAGTTATAACTTTTTTCGCACAAGAATAAGAACTTACCTATAGGAATAATATTTTTTTCGAACAGGAATGACATGATTTAGAAAAAGAAAAAAAAAATCTTTTTTATAAAAATAACGAAAAAATATAACAATGCAACGCTTCACCCGTCATACCATAAACAGGTGAAAGCGGAATATTACTTTACAAATACGGAAATTTTCACTTAAGATAAAAAAATGAAGAATAAATAATTTCTTTTCTTACACTATATAGTTTCAGTTGACCCGGATTAATTTTCAATCCGGGTCAAATATCAACGTTACACCTATTTATCGTTGTATCGTATTTTCGCGCGCCTTCTCCCAGCAATGGAAAAAAAAAACATTTGCAGTGAAATGTTATGGTTTATTAAAAAAATGCCAATGTATGAAAAAAAAATACAGACTATTTACTGTTTATTGAATATATTTCATATTTTAAAGCGCATATTATTTACATATCTACAATTTTATTAAGATTAATGGTTCGGCCGCCAACAGAAAGTCCGCAGAATAAATTAAGTATCTTGTTTGAAGAACTTCAGAAAATTCTTGAGAGTGATGAATTTGACGACGGCCTAAGGAAATACTTACACGAATCCAATCCAGACTATTTGAGAAAAATTGAAAAATGTAAGAAAGATTTGTTAAAGGAGGATCATGGAATTGTAGTTGCAGGTAATATATTGTACAATAAATTACTCTGTTCAACACATTTAATGGAAATAAAATCTATTACAATCATTATATTGTTTTTGTAAAGATAGACTGAAAAAAAATATAAAAAAAAGTATTAGAATTTATTTTTCAAGGTGATTTGAAAACTCGGCAGTAAAGATTGGAAAATGCAGTTATGTTTCCTGAGTTGTTCCAAGGCCCCCGGGTAAGGGAGAGGCCATTTTAGTGAATCAAAGTTTAAAATTGAAACATAATGGAAAAACCTTTAAAAATATTTTCTTCTCAGTAATAATTAGACCAGTACAGCTCAAAATTTTCTAAAAGGTTCCCGATGTTTGTTAATTCTTAATTGTTCAAAACATGGTTAAGGCATTCAATACCTAATAGGATCAAATTCAATGCAATTGAATACATAACAGATATGTAGGCACTGAATACTCAGTTTATTTAGACATACTTCCCATTTATTTGCATTAGTATGTATATTGGGGTGTTGTGACCTTGAACTATGACCTTTTTTTTAACTAATAAAACAATTAATTAAAAAAAATTAACTGTAAAAAAGTTGTTTTCAATTGTCATTCCTTTTATCAGCAGGATTTACTGATATTCAAATTATTTGAATTTTTATTTTGAAAAAAAAAACAACAACGCTTTTCCCATAGAATTCAATGAATTCTTTGTTAATTTACAACTTCTTAATTATTGACATTTTTAAAACTTTCTCAAGGACAATCCTTTTCTATTATAAAATGCTTTAATATAAAATCAGAGTATTATGTTCTTGACAGACATTTAAAGGTAGATAATTTGGTCCCATTAGTGATGGAAATCCTCAAATGGGTAGGTTGAGGCTACAAGAGGAATCAAAGTATTACAAGGGGAATCTGTTGCGGGATAATTTGCATAACAAACGAAATCCGTTATGCATAAAATAAATTATCACACGTTTCCAGCTATCGTTAATGGCCCTGGCATATTCTAATAAATAGACAGTGATTTCTTGTATTGCCATTGCATAATGAAATAAAATTACAAATTTACATTTTGAAAATATACATTCATAGATTTAAAATACAGGAGGCCTACCATTTCAATTTCAATAACCCCGTCCCTTGACGTCAAACACAAAGACAGTTGCACGAGATTTACATGCATATAAGGCCTCTTTAGCATCTCAGATTCAAAGACGGACTCAAGATATTCACGTGTGTATTAGGTCTCCATAGTTCCTGAGGTATCGCTTGGAAAAGTTTACATGTCGGAAGAATTATCAAGATATCAAAATATCTATTCTTAAAAGAGTTATCACAGAGAATACAAATAGAAATGGAAATATCATAGTATAAATTACTTTAAAAGAGACTAGAATGCAGTTAAATAAAATTCTCTTTTTAGGTGAAACGAGTGCAGGGAAATCAACGTTAATCAACAAGCTACTACAGAAAAGGATATTCAAAGGCAGAAATAAAGAATCCACATCTACAATTTGTAAAATAAGAAATTCTGAAGATATAAAGATTATAACTGAACTCTTAAATGGGGAAACAGAAATAATTCCTTTACAGTGCAGTATCGAAACAGAGATTGGAGAAAAGATATTAAGGGATACATTGAAAAGATTAACAGATATGACGTCTTCGAAAGACAGCAAAGATTTTCGATCTGTAGACGTAGGATTTCCGATACCTTTTCTGAAGGTGATGTATATATATATATTAAAATATAGATAATCCAATTAAAAGTTTCAGTGGTCGGTATTAAATACTTGAAATAAAAAGAAAAACACGAAAAACTTCAGTAAAGCTTTAGGCCTTTCATTCTATCATCAGAAGCTTTACAAAATAAATATATTATAATAAATATAAATATAAATAAATATATTAAAATATATATATATAATATAAACATAAAGCATATATAGGCTATTTTGATTAGTACCTTATGAAAAAATAAATGCATTGACAAACTTTTCGAAAAAGTACACAGGATGTGCATTTTGATCTGCTTAGCAGAATGCCTGCATGTCTTTTTTTTACTTGGTACATGATTGGATTTATAATGGTCAGTACAAGTTAGACCAGCTCTGAATTAATTGTTTTATAAACACAGTCAGGGGCAATGGACTGGTAATATGGAGCATTTCTCTAAACAATGCATTGTTTTAATATTGTTACATAACCCAGAGGCATAGTGTGTTTTGATGACATTCTAGTTATTGAAAAGGTGGCAATTGTCAGTTTACAGTGTACAGTAATTAATGTATCTCATATGCGATTTTTTAAAAAAAGATATTTTAAAACTATTTTATATAATTCTTTGAAATCAATTCTTATCTGAAATACGTTTGAAAACTTAATTGTAATGTATTTGTACTTTCAACAGCAAAAAGTGCATTTAAATAGATACAGAAATTCTATTAAAATAGTTTAACTTCTTCCATTCAATTTTATCATTTGCAGAAGTAAATAAATAATCAAATAAAAATAACCTAAACAATAATTTCCATCATCAATGTCAAATTCAATATCTTAAAATAGGTACATGCAAAATAATGCTGTGTAATGCTATGTAATGCCAGCATTATACTGGATTTTATGAAGTAATGCATAACATTACATTACCATTACATGTAATGCAAATTTTTGGGCATTACACATTACTAGCATTACTTTGAGTTCATGTAATGCATTACAATTACAATTACCATTACAATTACCATTACCTCAAGCCTGATATATATATATATATATATATATATATATATATATATATATATATATATATATATATATATATATATATATATATATATATAACGTCGTCATGTCAACGGAGTGGTTTTATAAACTTAGTCACATTCTGCGAAAGTGATGTGTTCTACCATAATATCTACATTTGCAAATGTTTTCCTTCATATAACACTACTGAAAGCAATGCGTATGTATAACTGTATAAATACAGGTACGGGGTCAAGAGGTCATCGATGTGCGTTTGGATAAACGTTTCGACGTAATTTCTCTTTGACTTCATAAAGGGTCGATACGCGTTTAGTTGATTACATACATTCCGTTTAGTTTGAAAAATAACGCATTTCACACGTTAAAAGTAACAATCAGGTAAATTTAAAGTATGAATAAGTCACAAATGTAAATATAAGTAATAAAGCATAATTTTTTTAGTTTATTTAGGATGTAAAACGGGTTGGCATATGATCAAATCTTCCATAAAGCCCTTCGGGCTTGATGGGATTTGATCACGTGACCAACCCGTTTTACATCTCAAAAAAACTCAAGAAATGATACCTTATTTCTTAAATAATACACGTGATTTTATTTTATTTATATTGCATTTTTTTTTTCAATTTTTTAAATCTATCACTCCGACAGGGCAACACAATCATAGTTGATACTCCAGGAATTGGTGGTTCAGGAGAAGTGAGCAAGAAAGTTATGGAGTACCTCCCTTATGCAGTTTCTTTTATTTTTGTTGTTGATGTAGGAAGTGCTGGTGGCATGCAGAATGATCGGGTACTTTTCTTTGCTAAGTCATATTCATTCTTAAAATTTGAGAGTAAACAAGCTTCATTTAAAGACACTGTGTCACTTTCGTCCTTGTTTTCTTTATCAGCATATTTCATTCCTATGGTCTTTTTCTATGTAAATGATAAGTGTCTTTTATGGCCCCACCTTACACTTATGGTAGTGATTTAAGCTAATATTATTACTGGTGTGCATGCATACTATATGAAGATGCTTTAAAATTTTATCTAATCATCCATGTTTTTGCATCATTCTGAAACCATTCTCTTTTTTTTCAAATGTTTCTCTCCCTCATATAACTAAGTGTAAAACTTTGAACATGATTAAGTCTCAAACTGTCCATGGGTTCCGGACTTAATATATATAAATCTACTTTAGGAAATCCTTTTCATGGCAAAATGCTTTTTAAGAAAATATTCGTGAATTAACGACTATAATGACTACACACAGTAGAGTTTTTCTTTTATTTGAAGTGTTAACTTGTGCTTTTGTCTGGGATATGCAAATAAGCATTCTATCTTCAAAGTCGAATAACTTTTTACTACTTAAACTATTCAAAGCTTCCGGAGATTCTGAGGTCAATAATTGAACTACAGTTAGAAGATGAGATGCCATGCTTTGATCCAAGAGAAGTAATCTTTATTACAAATAAGTGGGACACAATAGCGAGAGATGGGGACAGTGATGAGGACAGCAGCGATGAAGATCAAGAAGAAAAGACCTGGATTGAACTTAAACAGGATATAAAAAACATCTGGCCTTCTGTAAAAGAGGAAAACATTTTCAAAATGAACCTTAAGCATGTAAGAATTACTGGAATCTTCCTTCATTTCATAACTCAGAAAAAAGCATTGTAGTATTTGTCTTACGTCATGTGCAGAGTGTTTCAGAAAATATGCTGCCATTTTAATTTCTGAAATTTCAATTATGTCTCATCAATACCATGCCGAAAGATAGCTGCAGATCTGTAGCTCTCCGAAAATATATATATTGATATTGATATTGATAGACCGGAGAGCTACAGTGCCACCCATTTAAAAAACTGTATATTTATTGCGCACAAAAAGTGCGCTCGGTTCTTGATTAACTCTTCCAAATTCTAACCTTAATTGTAAAATATGGAAGATTTCAAAAAATTCCTCTTTCCCCTATCGAGTACCCTCATAGTTGACATCCGAACGAAGCATATTGGGTCGAATTATCTTTAAAACCAAAATGGCAGTATAAATAAGCGAAATGTTCGATGATTGCAATAACAGGATCAGGAGGGCCATTAACAACCATTATGAGGAATGTTTTGTTGTCGAAAGTGTAAAAGAATATGTTAGGAAGACACGGTTAGTAATATTTTGAGAATACAGTTTTAAAAACATGGAGAAATAAATCGAGAACCGAGCGCACTTTTTTGTGCCCAATAAACGTACAGTTTTTTCAATGGGTGACTCTGTAGCTCTCCGGTCTATCAATATTTTTTTTCGCAGAGCTACAGATCTGCAGCTAGCAGAAAGAGTATCAAAAACTTAAACGTAAGACTTTACCTAGTTCAAACGACATTTTCGCTAAATGAATAAATATTATCGGCGCAGGAAATTTCTTATTTCGAAGCACGCAAAGTAACCCTATAAAATGTTCGTGTCGTGGTCATTTATAATGCTTTATATAAATTTCCATCCGTGACCTTGTATCTACTCGGTAGATCCGACATTTAGGATATACAGTGTTGTTGGTTTTTTAGTGCTTTATATATATATATATATATATATATATATATATATATATATATATATATATATATATATATATATATATATATATATATATATATATATATATATATATATGTGTGTGTGTGTGTGTGTGTGTGTGTGTGTGTGTGTGTGTGTGTGTGTGGGTGCGTGAAGGGTATCAAACGGGGACATTTGTTTGTTTACACACCTTCCAACCGGGGACGACCTTCCAACCGGGGACGTCCCCGGTTGTCTCCGATTGAAAATAGCGCCAAATTCGAAATCAGGGATGTTTAATTACCCCAAAAAGCCGAAAAAATCCATTTTTTAACATGTTGAAAAATGTCCCCGGTTAGTTAGGATTAAAAGATGTGTGTTAGTGTGAACTTTTCATAATGAGCGAAGGTTCGTACTTGGGGGTTACACACGTGTCCCCGGTAGTATAGTGAAAAACGTGTCACGTGACCTTTCCTGAAACAAACATTACCTTGAGATATATTATCTTTCTTATTTTTAAGTCCGTATTTTTTTTTTAGATTTTAAAGTTACACATATTATGTTACGTTACTAGGGTATAATCATCAGCCAGTCTGACAAACGTTCGTGTTAATGGAACATCTGGATTATAGATGTACGATTGACTTTGTACTTACGCATGTAAATTAAGTTTCTTAATCGAGCCTATAATTTTTTTAAGGAATGAAGGTAATTTAAACTTAAGTTATTCGAATAATTCGATAATTCTAACATAACTTGGGGCAGTTTGCACGTTATAAACCATGCATTATTGCAGTTTGATGATTGACGATCAGCAGTTGCGATACATTCAGCATAATTCATAGGCGTCAAAAGAAAATTAAACCGGGGGGGGGAGCTAATATTGAAAGGGGCTAACCCCCAATAAAACCGTTAACCCTATTTTCAATGTCCACATAATGTATATCTTTGCAAAAAAGTGGAGTACTTAAGTCGATAATTCGAAATAATATTGTTTATATTATGTTTGAATGCTGCAGTAGGGTTGATTTTCTTAAGCTTAAACATGATTCTTGATTTAGTGACAAAATAATACTCATTTAAATAAATATACTTTGGTATTATTCGCATAGTTAATTAAAGAATTTCCTGTAAATATACATTTCACCAGAATTGAAAGTTGTCATGCATTTTTTTTTTTGGGGGGGGGGGGGATTAGAGCGGGGTTGGTGTTGAAAAGTAACAGCTTACAGTGTTTTTACCATTTTATTTCTAGGCTGTTATTTGCATAGCTAAGGATGGTACACATATCCATATACATGCATGGGATTCCTATAATGTGCCTTGTAATAGTGGTGTGGCAAATGCTAGCTGCAGAACGGTAGTTCTCCGAAAAAATATTTTGACAGACTGGAGAGCTACAGTCCCATCCATTGTGAAAACTGTATATTTATTGCTTGGACAAAAAGCAGCGCTAAGTTCTGAATTAATTTTCCATTTTTTTTTACCTGAATTGCAAAAAAAAGATATATCTTAACTCTCGTACAAATATAGGTGACATCTGCACAAAGTGCGTTGGACCAAATTATGTTGCATACCAAATTGAAAGTATAAATTGTCGAAATTTTTGATGATCACAGGAGGGCTATTAACAACAATAAAATTTTAAAATAAAGCTTCGACAGTCTGAGATTCTGAAGGGGAGAGATACTGGAATAAAAAAATATCAATAAATGCCTCGCTTCATGAAAACGAAATGTTTAATGTGGCGTTGAAGAGAAGGAAGGGGGGGGGGTATGCTGTAATATTTCCATTTCTAATTTTTCTCTCTGTGATAACTCTTTGAAACTTAGCGGAGTTAATTCATTGGTAATTATACCGGAATGTAAGTTAGACAGGTCAATAGGTCAGGAGCTAAGGAGGCCTTATATGCATGCAAATCTCGTGCGCATCTGTCTGCGAGTCTAACGCTAAGGAGGCCAAATTTGCATGAAAATCTCGAGCGGCTGCTGTTGTGTTTGACTTCAGTGGTCGATGGCTATTGAAATTGGGATGGGAATCATCGTGTAATTTAAATCTATGTCTGCATTTTATTTAAGTCTAAATCTAAAATTTTATTTTCACAATGACATGGAAGTATAAGGAATCATTGACTAGGCTTCGCCCATAATGCAAATTATCCCATGTTTCACACTATTGTTGATGCCCTGGCATACTATACTAACTCGACAGTGATTCCTTAATTGTATGCTGTCTATATGCCACAGCGATCTGATCATACCCCTTAGAATTCGAAGTGTGTGAAGACGAGATATTGAAAAAAAACCTATATATTAAACCTGTGCGATTCATACAGTTAGCTTATATAGAGTATTTTCAATAAATCTGATTAATTAAAAGGATCCTTTATCTGTAATTAACCAGTAACCATTGTAAATATTCGGACAACCATTATATCTGCTACTAGTATTTTCAAATTAAAAATATAAAAATAATTATATTTTTATAATACACAGAATAAGTAGCAGTCCACTCCCGGTACGTCGGTACGTGGAAGTTGTTATGCATGGACATATAGAGTAGTACAATGCTTACGTTTGATCACAGTCGAAAGATAGAAAGGAAGAAGGCGTAAAGAATAATGAAGAAAAAATATTTAATCATTTGACTGCTTTTATGAAAAAAGGGTCCTTAAGGACATACGCAAGGTACCTTACCTGCTGATAATTTTTCAAGATATTCTAAATTTAAGATTATAGTGTCATCAGATGTTTATAGACAAAAAATCAGCATGCATTACCAGGGTTTTCGAAATTATGAAAATGTTCCCATTATTCAAAGAAAAGTATACAAAAATTACAAAGCACAATTTACAGATTTTTTTCGAAATTTGTTTTAGAAGAGGTGTGCAAATCCATAATAATAGAAAAATTTAAAGTACTGCACACAGGTCAATCATCTAGTAGAATTCAACTCCAGGTAAAAGCTCAATAAAGTTCAAAGTATGTTGCATACGACCTTAAGGTCAAAATTTCAGAAAGGTATCGTCGTTATTCAGTAAGAACATAAAATGACGTCGCGTGCAACGAATTAAGTTTCCAATCATTCAAATAACTTTATAACATATATAAACTCTTTAAAGATGTTTTTTTTATAATTGTCTTCTTTCAAGATCTTGAATTTTCAATATATACCATGAAGATGAATTTGTTCTCTCCCATAAGCAGATCTAGTAATTTCGACGGGAGGGGGGGGGGGGTATATACGGATTCTGAAAACAGATTTTGTTTATTTGGAAATATAATATGTGTACCGTACAATTCAACACTAATAATTATATTTGATATTCTACCTCGATTAAAAGATACAAAGCACTATACATTAAGACATAAAATCTACTGATGATATACTTTTTCTATAAAAAAATGTCGGATGGTCATTTAAAGGAAGTAAATAATTTCTTGACAGCTTTATATATTGTTTCTTTTCAAATTATTTCATGCATATATTTTTAAGAATAAGTACACTACTGTCGATGTTATCATTACTTCACTTTAACATTGATTTATACGCTTGGAGGTTTGATGAGGTGTGGATAGGAGTTCCACATTAAATGTATTTAATTCCTAAACAAAATGCAAACTCAATTTCAAGCTTTCATCCGAACAAAATAGAATCAAAAGTAATTATTATCAGAGAATAGCTTTTCGGCATCTTAAATTTTATAATTGCTACCTTTTAAAAAACACTCCGTATTTTCACTCAATTCTTCTCCATTGAGGTATTAGAATAATTCATAAACATGTTCCTTCTTGTATTTTGATAAGCCTAAGGTACCTGTATATACATACGTCATTCACATTTTTTTTTGTATTTGCATGTTATATACAGGAATGTCCACTTTTGTATTATAACCATTTATACCAACAATGTCCCCTATTGTAATGTGAATTTTTATACACAAATATGTCCCCTATTGTATTGTGAATTTTTACACACAAATTATGTCCCCTATTGTATTGTAGTTTTTTATACACAAATGTCCCCTTTTGTATTGTGTATTTTTATACACAAAATATGTCCCCTATTGTGTTGTAGTT